TCCTCCTCCTCCTCCTCCTCTCCTCCTCCTCCTCCTCCTCCTCCTCCTCCTCCTCCTCCGAAAGCAGACCCGATGTAGGCCTGGGCGGTTTTGGTGTTTTTTCTAGAAGAAGCAAGGCGCCGACAAAATCTGCTCGTGAACAGTCGCAGCCTGCGCCTTCTGCACATGGGCGGGCTGCGGAGAAGCAAGGCGCCGACAAAACTGCACGCGAGAGGTCGCAGCCTGCGCCTTCTGCACATGGGCGGGCTGCGCGCTCTGATTTGGCGACTTAATGCATGCAGCCTCTCTCCCTGCGAACAGACTGGCCAAACTCCTGGAGCAGGTCGTTGCCTGACCTCCGCATGCGCCACACCCAAGCCCACAAGTACGAGCGGCAACGCTCCCAGTCTGAAGTGTGGACGCTGTCTGGGATGCTGTCGCGCATCTCAGGCCAGAGGCCATCGCAACACTGCGTGCCTTTTTTCAAATGAAGAGTCTCGGTGCGCCCGTTCGGGCGCACGACGCGCACGCGGTCGACGACGGCCCACTGTTCTGCATCGTGAGAAACTATGCCGTGCGATAGCTTCAGATGCTTATAATGCAGCTTGAAGCGGTCAGCATTGAAACGAGGAGGGTCTTTGCTCTTGTCGCTGTAAGCAGCACGGCTTTTCGGTGCTACGGACTGGTACGCGCCCGCGCCATCCGTCAAAAGCGTGAAATTGCCAGGCACGAGAACCCAAGAGAGGATCTCGTCGCACTCGGGCCCACTGAGTGAAACGCCGCTTCCCCCAGCGGCGCAGGTCCGCTGGGGCAGCTCGAAAAACGTCGCCAGTTGGCGCTGTCCCCGAGGACACACGCACATGAATCGGTGATGTAATATGCGGTAACGCCCAAAAGGGTGCTCGCCGCACGTCGTATCACAACAATCTCGCGGGCAAGTCACGCGGCAAGCGCGCATTGACGCCTCGTCGGCCTCAACGAGGCACCCGCGAGGCCACACAAAGTCGTCCTGCTCAGCCTTGGCAACGCGGGCGCAGATGGACCGCACGACACTAGTGATGCGCTGGGCTGTATTCTTCGATATCCCCACCTGCACAGCCATTCCGTCCGACGACTCGTAGCCCGAGGCATGCTGGGTTGCTGCATGGGCGATGGCGAGGAGGGTGCGGGTGGTGTTCACGGAGCCCTTGTTGAACAACTCCTTCAGAGGGCCCTTCGGGTCGAGGTTCGACTCGCGCCTCTTGATGGGCGAACAACGCACGCCCATGCCCGTACAACGCGCACCCATGGGCCCCCCCTCCCCACCCTCCGTCTATCCCGTGGGTATGGGCGTGCTTTGTTCGCTCATCGCCTCTGGCAATCCCAATTGGAACAGCGCCAAATCGGATAATCCATTTGAGGTATGCTGAAGCCCGCCACCTGGATGTCCTTGTCCGACTGGCCGCCCCGAAGCTTCAACTCCATTGTGCCGCACTGGCACGCCGTGCACTCGCCCCCCAGATCTGGTAGCACCCCGATCTCTATCATGATACGCGCGAGGAGCTCGGGACTGATGCGCGCCATGTCGACCACGGCGATCCTCTTGGATATAGGTAGCGCGGCGAGAGAAGGGCGATCAGCTTGTTTCTGATTCGGGGGAATGTAGGATGGACCAGGAGCCTCTTTTTTAGTTGTCGCCCTACCCTTCTTCATCATCGACTTCTTGCTGATGCGGCTCCCCTTCGTCAACGACACCCTGCGAATGCCAGACAACTTCTTAGAATGGAGAGTCGCGCAAGCGGGCTTCCGTTTCAACGAAGCCTGCTGCACGCGGTGCGCACGCTTGTGCTTGTCCGCCTGGGAGGCCTTGCCACCATGAGGCATGATTGACGAGGCGAACGGCAATGGGAGTGGCGAGGCTGCAATCCAAAGCCAAAGTTTGAACCAAAGTGCTACGGACCGAACACCATGATCGGCAAACACATGGACTACAATTGCGACCGCGCGCAGTCGCAACTTTGACCGCGGCAAAAGTAAACAAGCGTTGTTGGCCTTTTTTTCAGTAGAGCATGGCCATCGCAACGCCCTGCCCCGTTCACAGGCGCTGCCCCCCGTCCCCGATATGCACAAATTAGGTCTCGTGTGTCCCCGACGGCGCCTGCACGGTTGCGCCTCGCTGGGGGCGAGGGTCGGGGAATCATCATGCGCACTGCTGCATCGTGCGCATCGCCATCACGGCGGAGGCGGCGAAGGCGCAGCGCTGGCGCCGCCTACTGCCTACTCAGGCACCCCGAACCTGCCACCAATTGCATTCCTCGGCACGCACGCCCTCAGGCATGATATGCCACGAGACGTGGCCCGTGTGGCAGGCGCGCACATCACCGTCGAACACGATGAATCCTCCGAGGAAGACGAGAACGGCCACGGCGTGCCCCGTCACCCCAGGCGCAGAGCCGCACGTTGCGATGTAGCGGCCTGTGGGCACGGCGCAAGCTCCGCGGATGGACGCACGGGCGATCACGCACCCGTCTCCAGCGATCATGGCCTCGGCATCGTTGATGCTGAACGGCCCATCCTGGGTGTACGGAACGTTGAATCCGAGGGCGTTCAGGGCGTCGACCATCCAACAGTTCTTGAAACCTGCACCGAAGAGGCCGTCGCCCGTGCCATGGGGCGCCTCTTCGTCGCTGTCATCGATGATCAGCGGCGGGCCGCCCGAGGGCACCCCATCAGGGTCGGTGGGCAGAACGTAGATCTGCATTGTGAACGCCAGCTCTCCCGTGTCCTTCTTCGGCTTGAACGGAGACGGCAAGGACGCGTAGTCGCCGCGGCGCATGATGTCGACCATGTCCACAGCACTTGTGTCGGGAAGCTCCTGGCACCCCGTTCCAATCTTGATCCAATCCACGACGTGCTTCACTTTTACCACGTTGTCGATGTCTCTCAGTGGCATGTCTCGGAGACGATAGCAACCAGGCGGGTCTGATTCGAAGCGCGTGGGCTTCTCGAGCCGACTGTACGGGTTCAGAGTGTCCATGCAGCCCCAGGCCTGCGCGACCTGCTCGGTGGCGGACTCGTCCCCCGCGATCATCTCTCCCAGAGACTTGACGCCCCCCGCCACGAGGTTCGCCATGATCGCAACGAGACGCGATGCAACGTTGACTGCGAGGCGCACCTGTGGTCTTGAGCCAACGCAAAGCTGCGGGCTACAGCAATGGGAAAAGATAACGGACTGGGGCATCCAAAATCTGGATCCCCCCAATCAGCGGGCTCTCTCTCTCTCTCTCTCTCTCTCTCTGTCGCTGTCGCCGTCCCTGTCTCTTTCTCTGTCTCTGTCTTTGTCTCTGTGTCTGCCTCTCTCTCTCTCTCTCTCTCTCTCTCTCTCTCTCTCTCTCTCTCTCTCCCTCTCTCTCTCTCTCTCTCTCTCTCCTTCTGCGGGTGTGTGTTTTTTGGCTGTCGCTCCAAAGGCCAGGGCGGGGCTGCTAGTCGAGGCCGCGCGCGGCGCACGTCAGCCCAAGTCGTTGGCGTGGCCGCGGGGCGGGCCGTGGCGCGCCAAGCGCACCACTTTCTTGGCCGCCCAAGGAGGCAAGTGGTACTTCATGTGCACCTGGAGAGTCCGCCACCAGCTCTCCCAAGGAGCTGTGGCCTCCTCGAGCGCCTTCTCGGCCTTCTCGGTCGCCTTCTTGGCCTTCTGAAGCTTTCCCTCCGTCTTCTCCAAGGAAGCCTGCGTCTCGCGCAGCTCCGCCCGCGCGTCCTTGAGGGCGGTCGTCTTCTGCTTGAGCTGCTCCTTGCAGTGGTTGGCAACCGCCTCTGCCGCTGCGGCTTTGTGTTGGGCGGTGTACATATTCCTGTAGTGCTGGTTGGAGCGGCGTGACCGCGCGTCCAGGACGCTCTCAAGGTCGCGCAACTTGTCCACCAAGGGTTTGCGAGCTGCGGCGCGCGCCCCCCTCACCAGCTTGGCCACAGCTGGTTTGTTGCCGAGGTCGTGATCTCTCTTCGCGGCCCTGCGTACCTTGTTGCTGTGCAGCTTCTTCTCGTAAGCGGGTGTCCCCTTCTTTGGGTTCCCCATGGTGTCGCGAAGCACGGAGCGCGGAACCAATCAAACCTTGAGCCAAAGCGGTTACGGATGGTCGAAGCTTGCTCGTGCCGCATCCGCTGGGGGGCTCTGTCATTCGGTCGGAGGGTTAGCAAACATTGTAAAAAACAGGTGTTCCAGGTCGGAGGGTCAGCAAACACTGTAAAACACAGGTTTCTCAGGTTTTTCAGGTTTTTGCGCATCCATCCACCTGGGAGCGCATAGATCCCCCAAAACCTGAAAAACCGGTGTTTTGCTGTGGTTTCTCGGCCTCTGACCTGACAAAACCTGTAAAAAAACAGGTTTTTCAGGCCGGAGGGTTGGCAAACACTGTAAAAAAAACATGTTTTTCATGTTTTTCATGTTTTTGCGCATCTTTCCACCTGGGCGCGCATAGATCCCCCAAAACCTGAAAAACCTGAAAAACCTGTGTTTTGCAATGGTTTCTCAGCCTCTGACCTGAAAAACCTGTTTTTTACAAGAGATTCTCTACCTCTGGCTTGACAGGAGGCGCCACGAGCGCAATCGAAAGGACGAACTGAATTGATCAGGCACTCTCCTCCTCCTCCTCCCCCTCATCATTCTTCCTCCTCCTTCTCCCCCTCCCCCTCCCTCCTCCTCCTCCCTCGTGGTTGGGATGTTCGCCCCACGAGGGCTCTCGAGGGTTAAAACTGAGGGGCCCTCGTGTCGTCGTTTTCCCCCGCCGTCGCGGGGGTATTTTGCTGCCAGTCCTGGCTGGTAGAGGGCTGGGGGAGGTCCCCGCGAGTCCGCCTTTGTTTTGGAATGGTGGAGTCGCTCTATACTGTTCCTCTTCTTCAGGCAGGTCTCGTTCGAAGCCTGAGGTGGGGCCGCCCTGGCCCCCAGCTTAGCCGCCGCGTGTTCGGGCCTCGGACGCGCGCGCCACGCCTCGTACCCTCGTACCCTATCCTCCTCCTCTTCCTCCTCCTCTTCCTCCTCTTCTTTCTTCCTCGACGCCAAGTTGGAAAACGCTGAAACCGCCCAGGCGCCAAAAACAACCAAAAACGCCCAGGCCTACATCGGGTCTGGCGCCCCTCCTCCTCCTCCTCCTCCTCCTCCGCCTCCTACTCTCCTCGTCCTCCTCCTCCTCCGCCTCCTCCTCCTCCCCCCCCTCCTCCTTCTCCTCATCATCGTCCTCCTCCTCCTCCTTTCTCCTCCTCCTCCTCCGCATCCTCATCATCATCCTCCTCTTCCTCCTCCTCATCTTCCGCTGCTTCCTCCTCCTCTCCCTCGTCCTCTTCATCCACCTCATTCGTCCCCGCCCCCCCCCCCCGTCTTCCACATCCTCCTCTTCCTCCTCCTCCTCATCCTCCTCCTCGCCTCCTCCTCATCATCATCATCATCATCCTCTTCCTCCTCCTCCTCCTCCTCCTCATCCTCCTCCTCATCATCATCATCCGCGTCCTCATTCTCCTCATCCTCCTCCTTTCCTCCTCATCCTCCTCCTTCTCCTACTCCTCCTCAGTTCCTCATCCTCCTCATTATCATCCTCATCCTCATCCTCAGCCGTCTCATATGTATCATTCCCCCCATCTTCCTCTTATTCCTCCTCCTTCTCCTCCTCCGCCTCCTCCTTCTCCTTCTCATCGTCCTCCTCATCATTCCTCCTCCTCATCCTCCTCCTCCTCGTCCTCCTCCTCCTCCTTCGCTTTTTCCTCCTCTCACTCTTCCTCTTCATCCTCCTCATCCATCCCCTCCTCCTCCCCGTCTTCCCCCTCCTCATCCTCCTCCTCCTCCTCTTCCTCCTTCTCCTCCTCCGTCTCCTCCTCCTCGTCTCCATCCGCCTCCTCCTCCTCTCTCCATCCACCTCATCCTCCTCCTCCTTCTCCTGCTCATCCTCCTGCTCGTCCGCCTCCTCCTCCTCCTCCTCCTTCCTCCTCCTCTCCTCCTCCTCCTCTTCCTCCTCCTCCCCCTCCTCCTCCTCCTCCTCCTCCTCCGTTCCTCCTCCTCCTTCCCCTCTCCTCCTCATTTCCTCCTCCTCCCCTCCTCCTCCTCCTCCTCCTCCTCCTCCTCCTCCTCCCTCCTCCTCCTCCTATTAGTAATTCCTCCCCTCCTCCTCCTCCTCCTCCTCCTCCTCTCCTCCCTCCTCCTCCTCCTCCTCCTCCTCCTCTTCCTCCTGATCTCCATCCTCCTCCCCTTAGTCCTCCGCCTCCTCCTCTTCCTCCTCCTCCTCCTGATCATCATCATTCTCAGCATCATTCGCCTCAGCACCCTCATCTTCATCCTCGTCCTCATCCACCCACCCACCCCCCACCCCCCTTCTTCCTCGTCATCATCCGTGTCCTCCCTCTCGTCTTCCTCCTTCTCCTCCTCCTCCTCCCCCCCCCCCTCCTCCCCCTCCTTCTCCGCCTCCTCCCTCCTCCTACCATCATCATCATCATCATCTCATCATCATCAGCAGCAGCAGCAGCAGCAGCATATGTTTCCTCCTCCCCTCCCACTGCCCCCTCCCCTCCTCTCCCCCTCCTTCCCTCCTCCTTCTCCTCCTCCTTTCTCCTCCTCACTCCTCCTCCTCCTCCTCCTCCTATCCTTGTCCTCCTTCCTCCTCCTTATTCTTGTCCTTCTCCCTCCTTCTCCTCCTCCTCCTTCTCCTCCGCCTCCTCATCATCATGTTCCTTTGCCTCCTCCTCCTTTGCCTCCTCCTCCTCCGCCTCCTCCCTATCCTTCTCCTCCTCCTCCTTCCTCTTCGTCCTTCTCCTTCACCTTCTCCTCCTTCTCCTCCTCATTATTCGCTTCCTCCTCCTCCTCCTCCTCCTCCTCCTCCTAGGTGCCATCTGCGCTGAAGCCGCACTGGCCGCCCCCGCGGGACAGACCTTCAGCACTTGCTCTGCCAGCGAAATATCCTCAACCCCCGAGTTCAATTGCCAGCGAAATAGCCTCACCCCTTGGCTTAAGACTGCCACCGAAACATCTTCAACCCCCTGGCCTTCAGACTGACAGCGAAATATCCCCACAACCCTCGCTTAAAGCTGCCGGCGAAATACCCTCACACCCCTCGTTCAAAATTGCCAGCTAAATATCTTCACACCCTGGCTTAAAAACTGCCAATCCTCAACCCCCTGGCCTAAAAATTGCCAGCGAAATATCCTGACACCCCTCGCTTGAAAATGCCAGCGAAATATATGCACCGCCCCTTGCCTAAAACTGCCAGCTAAATATCCTCACCCCTCTGGACTTAAAACTGCAGCGAAATATCCTTACATCCCTCGCTGGAAAGTGCCAGCGACATATCCTCACCGCTCTTGGCTTAAAACTGCCAGCTAAATAGCCGCATTGCGTAAAACTGCCAGCGAAGTATCCTCAACCCCAGAAATAAATTGCCAGCGAAATATCCTCATTCTCTTAGCCCAAAATTGCGAGGGCAGCTGAATATGCTCACCGTCTGGACTTCAAGCTGCCAACGAAATATCCTCACACCCCTTGCTTGAAACTGCCAGCGAGATATCTTCACCGCCCCTTGCCTAAAACTGCCAGCTAAATATCCTCACCCCCTGGCTTAAAACTGCCGGCGAAATGTTCTCAACCTCCGGAAAAAATCGCCATGTAACGGTTTTGGTGATTCAGTTGTTAGTTCAGTCAGTCAGTCAGTCAGTCTACCTCCCGAAAATCAAATGACGGGCTGCGAACGTAAAAGAGAGCGAGTGCAGAGAGCGAAGGGCGGGAAACACATCAATCATAGGAGGTACAAATAATATATACCGCATCAGAGGATTATGCCGATTGTTGTCTGGAGCTTCCAAGACCCATGCGGCATTACATGTTCTTATTCCCTATATCCTGAGATGGGGTTTTGTTTCCCATATCCTAAGATGGGGTTCTTATTATTATTCTGACGCCGCCGACTCCTCAGTCAGGCCTCCTCCCATTCTCGTCTCATCCTACTTAGATTCGTCCATATTCAGATTCCTTCGCATTCATACTATTAAGAGTTGTTCACTGTCAGACTCATTTACATTCATACTCCTCTCGGATTCACTCATGCCAAGATTCTGCCGCAGTCATTCATTAATTTTCTGAAGGTTCGGAGGAGGTCTCAGGTGGGGTGTTGGTTTCAGCTCCCCTAAGAGGAGCCGCCACAGGGGTATTGCACGGCCTCTCAGGCGGTTTGCCTTTTGCGGTGCCCAACCCAACATCGTTTGTGTTGACAGCATGTTGTGAAGATGTCACAGGCGGGGCGCTGGTTTCAGCACCCCTAAGGGGAGCCGCCCAGGAGTATTGCATGGGCCCGTTCGCGGCCAGTTTGCGGGGATGTCTCAGGCGGTTTGCCCATGTTCGGTGGCCAACATCGTCTGCGTTTAGAGCAGATTGTGAGGCTGTCTCCGGTGGGGAGCTGGCTTCACATCGTCTGCGTTTACAGCAGGTTGTGAGGATGTCCCAGGCGGGGCGCTGGTTCCAGCACCCCTTAAGGACAGCCGCCAGGGGGTATTGCACGGGCCCGTTCGCGGCCAGTTTGCGGGGATGTCTCAGGTGGTTTGCCTTTTTCGGTGGGCAACACCGTCTGCGTTTACAGCAGATTGTGAGGATGTCTCAGGCGGGGCATTGGTTTCAGCATCCCTAAGGGGAGCCGCCAGCGGGTGTTGTCACGGGCCCGTTCGCGGCCAGTTTGCGGGGATGTCTCAGGCGTTTTGCTTGTTTCAGTGCTCAACATCGTCCGCGTTTAGAGCAGATTGTGAGGATGTCTCCGGCGGGGCATTGGTTTCAGCACCTCTGCGGGGAACTGCCTGGGGTGTTTTCACGGGCCCCTTCGCGGCCAGTGTGTGGGGATGTCTCAGGCGGTTTGCTTGTCTTGTGGCTCAACATCCTTCGCTTTCAGAGCCAATTTGGAGGATGTCTCAGGTGGGGCGCTGGTTTCAGCAACCCTAAAGAGAACCGCCTGGGAGTATGATACCGGCCCGTTCGCGGCCAGTGTGTGGGGATGTCTCAGGCGGTTCGCTTGTCTTGTGGCTCAACATGTTTTGCGCTTTCAGAACAGATTTGGAGCATGTCTCAGGCGGGGCGCTGGTTTCAGCACCCTACAACATGAGATGCACTTGGAGCTCATCTGGCTCATATGGCTAGACGTTCATATACAGATCCCAAATACAAGCTATATATGGGAGCTCCACGCAGTGGGTAATTATTATTCTGACGTCGCCGACTCCTCAGTCAAGCCTTCTCCCATTCTCGTCTCCTCCTATTTAGACTCGTCCATACTCAGATTCCTTCGCGCTCATACTGTTCAGAGTTGTTCACATTCAGACTCACTCATACTCATACTCTCTCGCACTCACTCATGCCAAAACTTTGTCGCATCATTCATTCATGTTCAGAAGATTCGGAGGATGTCTCCAGTGGGGCGCTGGTTTCAGCACCCCTACGGGGAGACGCCAGGGGGCATTGCATGGGCCCGTTCGCGGCCAGTTTGTGGGGATGTGTCAGGCAGTTTGCTTGTTTCGGTGGCCAACATCGTCTGCGTTTAGAGCGGATTGTGAGGATGTCACAGGCGGGGCGCTGGTTTCAGAACCCCTAAGGGGAGCCGCCAGGGGGTATTGCACTGGCCCGTTCGCGGCCAGTTTGTGGGGATGTGTCAGGCAGTTTGCTTGTTTCGGTGGCCAACATCGTCTGCGTATAGAGCAGATTGTGAGGATGTCTCAGGCGGGTCGCTGGTTTCAGCACCCTTAAGGGGAGCCGCCAGGGGGTATTACACGGGCCCGTTCGCGGCCAGTTTGCGGGGATGTCTCAGGCGGTTTGCCTATTTCGGTGGCCAACATCGTCTGCGTTTAGAGCAGATTGTGAGGATGTCTCAGGCGGGGCGCTGGTTTCAGCACCCGCAAGGGGAACCGCCAAGGGATACTGCACGGGCCCGTTCGCGGCCAGTTTGTGCGGATGTCTCAGGCGGTTTGCTTGTTTCGGTGGCCAACATCGTCTGCGTTTGGACCAGATTGTGAGGATGTCTCAGGCGGTGCGCTGGTTTCAGCACTCCCAAGGGGGGGGCGCCAGGGGGTACTGCACGGGCCCGTTCGCGCCCAGATTGGGGGGATGTCTCAGGCGGTTTGCCTGTTTGGGTGCTCAACATCCTTCTCTTTCGGAGCAGTTCCCGGGGATGTTTCAGGCGAGGCGCTGGTTTCAGCACTCCCAAGTGGGGGGGGCGCCAGGGGTTATTGCAGGGGCCCGTTTTCGTCTTCACGGATGGATTTTCTTGACAGGTGTTCATAGGGAAAGGAGGAGAAAGAGGAGGAGGACGGAAGGAGGAAGCAATTACTTAAAGTCGTCGAAGTCGTCGGCGTCTCTCTTCGGCCTCGTTTTCCACGCGGATTCGCTTACATTCGGATATTGAAGAAGGATCATGTCTTCTACCGAAGTTTGTCACCATTATGAGATGCACATATGGGGATCTCCGCGTCGAGTAATGTTTAATGGCCTCTGGCCCATCCCACCATCGTGCATGGGTGTGGAACTTGAGGCGTAGCGGATGCATACCAGGATGTGGTGACATGCCTCTCGGGGGCTTCATGAAGGTGTTTTGGGGGCTTCTTCGAGCCTCGTGGGGGCCTCGTGGGGGCCTCTTGGAGCCTCTTGGGGGCGCCGTGTGAGCCTCCGGGAGGCTTGGGGCCAAAAGCTCGAAATGTCCGTTCGGGTCTCTCTGGGACCCCTCTTGGGGCCGGCTTGGAGGCCTCTTGGGCCGTTATGGGCGCCTCGTGGGCCGTCTTCGCGACCTCCTGCGCCGTCTTGGGGCCATTTTGGAGGCCTCTTGGGCCGTCTTGGGGGCCTCTTGGAGCGCCGGGAAGCCGAAAAGGCGAGAAGGCCAAAATCTGTCGCAAACCGAAGGGGAATCAGTGTCAGTTGCCTATTGGGAAGCCTCTTGGAGGCCTCTGGGGCGTCTTGGATGCGTCTTGGTGGGTCGTCTGGAGACCATCTGGAGCGGCCTCTTGGACCGTCTTGTTGGCTCTGGCTCCGAGAAAGTCATGCGACAAGACGGCGGGTGAGCCCAGGAGGCACGCGGGGAGCCCCAGAAGATTTGAGAGCTGGGGGTCAAGCCCTTTACAGAGTTCTCGGGATCGAGGGCTGAGGCTCGGGGGATGCGGCAAAAGACCTGAGGACACCCAAACTCGTGCCTCAGGGCACGGTTGCGGATATTTCCTGAGGCGTGCAGCCGCTATTGCACAGAATGGCTTCCCTTTAACGGCCCGTCGGCCTAAGAAATGTGTGTTTAGTCCCCCTTGGCGCACACAAAGAATTGCAGAGCGTGTTTTTGACTCAGCGTTTGGCCATCATTCGTGTTCCTGACTCGCGAGACAACAGGCTGTCTTGTTTCAGGAGCCACGGTGCGCCCATGCGAGTGAAATAATTTGGTGGCCGCACATATGCTGTAAGTGCACAGGTTGCGCCGCCAGCCAACGGACGAATGGGCCACAGCGCGTAGCGAATTGGTGGCGCCCCCAGGCCTCAGCCGATGCCCGGTTGGCTTCCCCCATGGGCGCGTCGACAAGTCATTGCCCACGCGGCCGTCGTTGTGACGACTTGCCGCAAAAGCAATAGCAAGGTACCGATCGTTCGTAGCCGCTTTGGCCCAGTAAAGAAGATTCCTTCTGGTTCGAATTCTTTGTAGCAGGCCATGGCGACTCCGTGTCAGGGAATGGGCATTCGATCAGGTCCGACAGAAGCCTTCTGGCCCTCTTGGTTTGCGTTGTCGCCACTATGGGCAAGTATTGTTGTGTTATTTGATGGTTCAGCGCACGCCGTTGCAGCTAAAGTCACCTCTGTCGCTGCTCCGAGCGCTAGTGTACCTCCCTTCGGCATCGCTCAGTGGTCCCTTACAGTCGAAGGAGTAACTACAAAACCTTGGGAAGCACTCAATATCACTCTTGATATTACTCCTCCTAAGGGCGGCCGCCCATATTACGCAACCATCAAAGGGTACCACCATGGAGACAACGAGTGGAGGGTGCGAGCAGCACTGCAAGATGTGGGGGAGTTCCATTACAAACTTAATGTTGTTCAGGATGGCAACCTCCTCCACTCCAGTGCTGGAACCCTGGTGTGTGCTGCTGATGCCGAAGCACATCCGACATCGGTCGGACCAAAAGGCTTCCTGCGACCACGATTTGGACAGTTCCCGTACCGCACCGCCTTTGATGATAGTACCCTTTTCAACGGATTTGGTTTAGGTGATTGCCTCAACGATGATCTCACATTCCCGACATTTGAGAATGGCACGACGTTCACCCGCACGCTGGATCAATATGTGAAGGATTATGCCGATGCTGGCTTCAATATCTTCCGATGGAGTGATGGCAATTGCGCGTGGAGGATCCAAGAGAGTTTCGATGGGGATGATGCCCCGTGGCGGCCAAACGGGAACGAATACAATGAGACCACGGCAGCCCTCCTTGACCGCATATTCGACACATTCCGCAGCAATGGTTTCTCTATGTGGTCTGTCATTTTCTCGAAGGACGACAACTCGAAGCTGCCCGTATTCCCCTATCTTGGCAACACTGATAAACTCAGCCACCTTGCACAGCGAGCATCTCTGGGGGCGTATCTCGATTTTGTGGTTGCCAGGTGGGGAGCACAGACTGATGTGTGGTCTCTGCTGAATGAACAGCGCGCTGAAACTGCATGGCTGCAGTGGGTTGCACGGTACCTTCGCAGCATTGACCCATACAGGCACCCCATCAGCTCAAGTTGGGATGACCACCTCCAGCTTCCGGAAATTGAGATCAACAGTGTGCATTGGTATTATTCTTCCCCGATCGCAGGGGACGTTTATACATCTAACGCAACCCAGGAAGACAAGGCGATGGCTGATCAAGCGCAGAATCAGTTGGCAGCTGGAAAGCCAGTGTATTTCACTGAGACAGGAATGGGCCACCACAATTGGGATCCGGAATCTCACATCCTCATGCGCATCCGTAGTTGGACTGCATTTTTCGAGGCGTGTGTTTTGATGTGGTGGAACACTGCAGGGTCAACCAAGTATCACGGCATCGCGGGCAATATGTACCTCGGCCTGAAAGAGCGAGGATACCAGAAGGTACTCCGTGCTTTTGTTAATGAGATGATTGACCCAGCAGTTGCCCAACTCAACATGACCGCCTCCGACGGTGTCAGGGCGTATGGTGTCATCGGTGCTGGCGCTCATGGGAACGGAAAGGTATTGATGGCTTATGTCCAGCATTATTCATCACACAGATCAAACATCACAGCACAGATCACCTTTGCCCCCTCAAAATATTTCCGCAGTCTGATAGGCTGCGTGGGTACCTGGGTCCACCCTGTCACAGGGGCCACAGAACCTGCCACGCAGCCCAAAGGCCTGACATACACGACCCCAGTTTTCAGCATCGACATGGCGCTCCGAGTGAACTGCCCGAGCGAAGAACTCATCATCTGATTGCTTTCAACACTAGTTGCTTTCTTGGCAGGGTGCGTGGCATCTTCGGCGATCGCTGCACGTACGAATTGCGTGAAGCTCCAACGCTGATTTGAGCCACCTGGTCCAGCGGTTTCAATGGTTTGAACTATCGACCCGGTGCTCGCAAGCAGCCGCCGGTGGTCCCCTCCTCCGCCTCGTCCCCTCTTCCTCCCAGTCCAGCTGCCCAGCGGCAGGTGGCCTCGCTGCGCTCAGAAGCTATCGCAGGATGCCCCTTCCTCAATCTTCCTCGTCGTCCTCCTCGTCTCTTCCTCTTCCTCGTTCTCATCTTTCTCAGGCCGCGCAGCGAGTCTGTATGCCTTCCGCCGACACCGATAGCATGCACGACCCTGATAAAGCAATGTCGCTGTAGCGTGTGACGCACGAAAGGTAGGCTGAATTCCTTTGAATATATTGGAGGCGCATACAGGAGAGAAATAGTAGGTATGAAAAAAAACAGAGTTATCTCAGCAAACCACCCTCACAGCAGCAAAGGTGGAGAGGCGGGTCGAGGAGTAGGAGGTCGAGGCACAGACATGTGCACCTTAGTCCCTGTTGCAAGAGATCAGGGCCGTCCGGACCAAGCACGTAGCCAGCATCGAAGCGAGAGCACGGTTCTCGAAGTAATTGTAATGAAGTCTCGGGCGAAACGGTTGTTGGACCGGGCAGTCTCGGGTTCCCCGTCTTTTTCGTGGAATTCTTGTATTGTTTAGCCATCTTGTAGTGTTGGGTCCTCGTTTTGAAGAGACAGCGCCCCGCGTTCTTTCTTCCTCTCCTCTCCTCGTCCCTCTCATCCTCTCCCTCCTCCATCATCATCATCACCATCATCATCTTCATCTTCATATCAACCAGCGTTGACTCCAAATAGATAGGAGGACGAGGAGGAGGACGAGAGGACGATGAGAGGAGGACGAAAGGAGGACGGGAGCAGGACGGGAGGAGCAAAATCAAGCAAGCGCAAGCAAGCAAGCGGAAGCAAGCAAGCGCAAGCGAGCAATATCAAGCAAACAAGAGCCAGCGATCAAGTGCAAGCAAGCAAGGGCAAGCAAGAGCAAGCAAGCGAGAGCAAGCACGCAAGAGCAAGCAAGCAAGTGCAAGTGAGTGCGCAAGAGCCAGCAAGCAAGAGCAAGCAAGTATAGGAATCCATGCGATTCATAGGAATCCATAGGAATCCATGGGACTCGCCACTGGAAATAGCTGGGGGGGGGCCATTGGAAATAGCCACAGGAATTAGGGGGGCATAGAAATTAGGGGGGGCAACGGACCAATTAGCATGATGAGCTAGGACTCTTATAGGGCAAGCCTATTTGGAGAATCTTCATCATCATCAGCATCAGCATCATCAGCAGCATCGTCATCATCCCATCATCCCACCATCCTCATCCATGGGCCCACCCCATCCATTTCGGCACACCACTCACTCGTGCCCTATAGGGAGCTCCGCCGAAGGCCTCAATGGCAGGGGCCGCATGGCGCCACCGCACCCATGTCGGCACACCCCTCAAACGCTTCTTGGCCCCATAGGGAGCTCCGCCGAAGGCCCCAGTGGCAGGGTTCCGCCACCGCACCGATGTCGGCACACCCCTAACACGCTCTGTGGCCCCAAAGGGAGCGTTGCCGAAGGCCCCAGTTGCAGGGATCGCATGGCGGCATGGCGCCACCGCACCCAGTTCGGCACATAGGGAGTCCCACTGAATTTCTCAGTGGGCGGGCTCGCATGGCGCCACCTCACGCAGTTCGGCGCACCATTCACGCGCTTCGTGGCCCCATGGGGAGCTCCGCCGAAGGCCCCAGTTGCGGGGTTCGTATGGCGCAGCCCCTTGACACGCTTTGTGGCCCCATGGGGAGCTCCGCCGAAGGCCCCAATGGCAAGGCTCGCATGGCGCCACCGCACCCATTTCGGCACACCCCTCGCACGTTCGGTGACCCCGTAGAGAGGGAGCCGCCGAAGGCCCCAGTGGCAGGGTTCGCACGGCGCCACCGCATCGATGTCGGCACACCTTTTACACGTTCGTGGCCCCAAAGGGAGGTACAGTGGGGGCCCATGCCAAGAAACACCTTGCTTGCCTCCAGGGTGCCCTGGGTCGCTTGGGTTTCGATGGTTTCGCTATGGAAAGCGTAACGTTCCCACACCAAATATCAATGGACGTCCTGGGGTCTCAGGGTTGTGTGTCTTGTGGGAGGTTTCTTGTGGATTGGCCTCCTCGTGGCCCAATAAGGAGCGCCACCGAAGACGACTTTCACAATTGTGGCGCTCACAATTGTATATGGTTGGGCCCATCGCCAGATCAATTGTCTGTTACCAGTCTTAGAACCTGGACCCCCCCCCCAGCGAAACGCTAGTAGGGAGTCGTAATTCAGACGAGCAATGACAGACGTTAAAGAAAAGATAAAGTATCGACGTGGATAGATTCCCAGAATCATTTGCATCAAGAGTGTGGGTGACCAAGGTCGTTGCACAAACGGTTGTGTTCCATTCGGTAAGCAGCATTTGGAGTAAAAGTAAGATCAAGCCACCATTGTCATCCAAATATGTTGCGTCGACCATGCGCCTCACCAGCACAAGCGCGTCAACGGTGTTCCAGCGAGTTCGAAATCCCAATCGTGAGTTTCGGAAGTGGGCTTCCGCGCAATTTCGAAGTAACGAGTGGTGTAGCATAGCCGTCAGAATGTATGTATCCGAAGCAAAGAAGTTGGTCGACAATTGTTGGATAAAGTTGCGCATCCCCCTCTTGAGTAATAGGATGCAGTTCGCCATGCATGATGGTTATTGTGCGCGTTGTTTGTTATAACATCTGGTTTATTTGTTTGATATGGATTTCCAGTTGTTCTTTCTCATATTCCCACTACGGTCAGCAACTCATCCCAAGTAAATTGGCACACGCCGATGGGCAATTATTCACCAAGGGGCGCGAACTTGTATGAACAACCTGCAGGAAGGTAGCGTTCCATATGATTTCTTCGACGTAGTCGGCCATGGCATCAGGACGGTTCGCCACAACGGTAATATCATGATTCGTATCCCAGATTCCAGTTTGTGTGTGTTGAGGTTTCTTCTTGGGTTGCTTAATGGCATCCCACATCCCCCCCAAAAAGGTAGTCGTTTATCTATTGTTGTGTACATTGGCCATGCGATGTTCCGCATAATCTTACGACGTGAGCTATCAGTCCTAGCAGATTCCTTTAGCCTGTATTTGGTTGCTTGCTCGGTCGAGCCTGAATTTGTTTGGGATATGCATGGTCGTCAGGCAGATTGTTATTGAAGCGCTTCGCTCATTCCGCCGGCCCATAATTGCGCGCCGCTGTCGACTGACCGAGTGGTTTTTCGCGGTGCGGAGTTGCAGGGGCGGCGTCTGTTTTTATCAGGCTTTGCGTTCGGCATGTGAGGTTTCTTGGTGACCGTTGGGGGAGTCTTAAACGCGTCGCGGGCCGTCTGGAAGCGTTTTGCTTATGGGGGCTCTTTCGGGAGGCCTCTTGGTGGCCTCTTGGGGACTCAAACGCGTCGGGTCGTTGGCACTTGCTTGCGTGCTCGGGGGGCATTTGGAGGGCCTCCTGGGGCCGCTTGGGGGCCTCTTGGGGGCCTCCTGAGGGCCTGTTGGGGGCGTCTTGGGGTCTCCTAGGGGCCTCTTGGGGACTCCTGGGGCCTTCTTAGGGCCGAGAGCTCGAAATGTTGATTCGTGTTCCCCCCTGGGATTTCTCTTGGGGCCTTCTTGGGCCGTCTTGGAGGCCTCTTGGGCCGTTTCGGAGCCCTCTTGGGCCGTTTTGGGGCCCTCTTGGGGCCTCTTGGGCCCTCTTGGGCCGTCTTGGGGCCCATCTTGGGGCCCCTTGAGGTGTCGGGAAGCCGAAAAGGTGGAAACGCCAAAATCTCTCCAAAACCTTCAGAAAAGCAGTGAATGTGTGCCTCTTGGGGCCCTCTTAAGAGTGCTCTGGGAGGCCTGCTGGGCCGCCTGGGCGCCATCTTGGGCGTCTTGGAGCGATCTTGTGGTATCTCGGAGCTCTCTTGTATCATCTTGAGGGGCTCTTGGCGGCCTCTTGGCCCTTCTTGGAGCTTTCTGGACGGCCTCGAGGGCGGCGCCCAGGAGGAAAACCATCTCTGACCCGAGTCGCCCGGGACCTGCCCGGGGTACGTTTTTTCTGGGGACCCCCAGGGGCCGCCCCGCGCGCGCAAAGTAGAATTGATTGTGAAGCAGTTACCGGAGAAATTAACACGCTTCTGGCCCGTTGGGCCGTTCTCATTTGCGTCGAAGAACTTGTGTCGCATCGTCAAGTTATACCATGTGCATGTGCCCGGGAAAGGAAAAGGATCGCTAAACGCCAGAACCCCGAACCCCCAATTTGGGACCAGGGCCCCCCAGGGTTCCCCCGGGGTTGTTTGGACGGGGCATGAGGGTCCCAAGAAGCTTCTGAGACGGTCCTAAAGAGCCTCGGGGCGGCCCAAGAGGTCCCCACGATGCCCCGAGAGGGCTCCAAGAGAATTCACCAGAGGGCCCCAGGAGGCAAAAAGTGCCACAGCCCCGTCGCAAAACGCACGTTCAAAGCGTATACGATGCTTGGGCTTAAAGCCAGTCCAAACGACACAACAGGCCTTTCGAATCACCCGAAGACGGCCCGAGGGAGCCCCAAGGCAACCCACGATACCTGCCAGGGCAGCCTAAGAGCTTCCAAGAGGGTCCCAAGAGAGCCCCAAACGGCCCAAGGAGTGCTCAGGAGGCCCCCACGAGGCCCCCGAAGGCCCCTAACAGGCCCCAAGGGGCCTCCACGACGCCCCTGAGAGCCTGTAGAGAGGCACCCAGGAGGCCCCAACAGGTCCCGCGGGTGCTGGACACCCTCAGCGGACATCTATCAGGCAACCATTTTTGTTGTTGTTGTTGTTGTTGTTGTTGTTGTTGTTGTTGTTGTTGTTGTTGTTGTTGTTGTTGTTGTTGTTTCTTCTTGTGCCACCTTCAACGACGTGTGGAAGGCTACGGCGCTCCCTTCCCACGATATTGGCATGCGGCCCCGGAAATTGACAGAGCAACCCATAGGCCGCCAGCACGCTAGCAGAAGCTCCCACCAGGCCCCAAGAAGCCACCGAGAAGTCTTTAACCCACAACCCAGAGATGACAGGACTACGCAGCGATGATGCTGCTGAGTATTGTTTTCAACAGGAGGAGAAGTGGGAGGAAGAGTAGTAGTCGGACGAGGAGAGGTGAAGGAGGAGGAAGAGGAGGAAGAGAGGCGGACGAGGATCAGAATCAGGAGAGGACTCTGGCGCTAGCGAGCCCCTTCGCCATCAACTGTTTTGCTCACTGTTTATGCAACGTTCCACATTATCTTCCAAAGCGAGCTATCAGTCCTATCAGATTCCCGTCGCCTGTGTAGGGTTGTTTTGATCGGTCGAGTATGAAGTAGCTTTGGCTATGCAAGGTCGCCAGGCAGACTGTTATCTGCGCCGAAGAACGCCTGTCGCATCGTCAACCTATTCCATGCACGTGCCTATACGACCACCCTTCGGGTGATAAGGACGTTGTGGGGGGGGGAGGGGGGACACCATCGGGACAGCATGTGGACACCATTAGAACACCATCGGGGCACCAGCGGGACATCATACTAACACCATCTCGAGAGGAACACTTCCAGAAATTGCGGATCAAATGAATGGTGCAATCGGGGCACGATGTGGACATTGTGTGGATTGTCGACACTCTACCGACGATGTAGGTAACGGCGATGTAGGTTTTGGAAGTGTTTTGGGGATGGTTCGTGGTCAAACCAATTGTAGGAAAGCGTCGTTCGTGGTTTCCTACCAATTACCGTGGCGCGCTTGTTCCATACATCCGCGTTTATGGATTGTCGGAAAGTGTTGTTCGTGATGTCTTACAACTTGTTCTACGCGAGTTCGGTGATGCAAAAACCAGATTCCCAGCATCACCGTCAACCAACATCGCCGTCAGCGTGGCTTCGGTTGGACACCATCGGCACAACATGTGGACGCCATCGGGACACCATGTGGGCACAATCAGGACACCACGTGGATACCATTGGCACATCATCGGGACACCATCGGTAAGCCATCACGGCACCACCAGGACACCATCGGAACACCATCGGGACACCACCCGGGCACAATGTGGGCACCATTGGGACACCAATGGGACACCATCGAAACACCATCGGGGCACCATCGGAACACCATCGGGACACCATCTGAACACCATCGGGACACCATCGGGACACCATGGGGACACCATCGGACTGTTGCGCCCTGACAATGCTGAATCGTTCCAAGATGCCGTTTCTGGATTTTCAACTATGAGAATCAGCGAAATTTCTGTAATTGTTTGACACGAACGCGCTCGGCGCTGAGGCGGGAGCCACATTTTGAAAACGAGCCGCCCTCAATCCGTGAAACTCTTGTAATGTTTGAAAAGGAACGCGCGCGGCGCTAAGCCGAGAGCCACATTTTGAACACGACTTGTCTCCAACCCGCGAAATTCTTGAGCTGTTTGAAGACGAATCTGCGCGGCGCTAAGGCGAGAGCCACATGTTGCAAACGGCCCGCCCTCCATCTGCGAAGCTGTTGCCAGTTTTTAAGCTTCAGGCTCTTAAATGGTACGGACGTCTGAGGCGAAACACCCAGCCCGCCCTTCCGATTGGCCTCGGGATGCGACAGGGAGGAGTTATTCGTAAGGAAAAGGAGTGGAGGAGAAGGAGGAGGAGGAGGAGGGGAAGGAGGGGAAAGGAGGAAGGAGAGAGAAGGGAGAGAGGGAGAGGGAGAGGGAGAGGGAGGAGGAGGAGAGGATGGAGGAGGAGGGAGGAGGAGGAGGAGGGAGGAGGAGGGAGGGGGGTTCCAGGAGGAGGGAGGAGGGAGGAGGGAGAGGAGGGAGGAGGGAGGAGGGAGGAGGGAGGAGGGAGGGGGGAGGAGGGGAGAGGAGGGAGGATGAGGAGGAGGGGGAGGAGGAGGAGGAGGAGGAGGAGGAGAGGAGGAGGAGGAGGAGGAGGAGGGGAGGAGGCTGAGGAGGAGGAGGAGGAAGGAGGACAACTCCAAGACTTCCTGTCCTGGGTCCCGCCGGGGGGCGGAGCGGCATCCGTGCCCCCCTACCCCAAAGCTCGAGCACGGGATCGTCAAGGACTGGAGCGACATGGAGAAGGCGCCGCCTGAGGAGGTGGGGACGGAGGAGGAGGAGGAGGAAGAGGAGGAGGAGGAGGAGGAGGAGGAGGAGAGGAGATAGATTTGGAGGAGGGGGATGGGGGGGGACACTCTCCCCGCACCATCCTTCCGCCGCGTCGTCCGTCGCAGGCCGCAGTTGGCCGGCTGGGTGCCGAGCGTGTTTCCCCCGAACGCGCGGTGGCTTTGGGCACGCATTGTGCGGCGGTCATGGGTAGAAGGCAATGTTTACCCGCGGCTTCGCGGGCCTCAGAGGAGGAACTCCTCCTCCTCCTCCTCATCCTCCTCCTCATCATCAGCAGCATCATCATCATCTTTCGAATGTGCCGTGGTTTCCGCTGGCGAGTGCCGAAGGCCGGCTTGCCTTCGGGCTCTGTCGCAGCTGTGCTGCGGCTTTGGCTTTCGGTGTTGCTCGATGGCGCTGAAGCGAGTTGAGGCAGGTAATTGTTTGGTCTCGCCACCCTCGCGAGGGTGGAGCCACGTCGATACGGGTTGTAAACTGGCTCCCCCCGTGCGTGCACGGGGCTGCAGCTAGTGCCCCTCGTGCATC